ATTTTTACTCCAAAACTCCGATATTCAGGGTCAAGTATACTCTGTACAATGAAGCAATAATTAATTAATAGTTATTACATTTAAACAATATTATTTTACTCATCCTACATTTCTATTTAAATGATATATTTATAATTATTTCTATTACCTCATTAATATTTATTGAAATTATTTCAGGACTGACGTTTTCAAGTGTTGAAGTCTTTGGAGTGTTGTGCTCAGATGACGATGAAGCTGATGAAGCATTAAAAAATGTCAATTGTTTATTTGAGGTAATTTTACTACATTCTACCAATTTATTTTTTACAGGTTTTTGAAATTTTGTTTCCTTAAGTTTTTTGGACACAGTATTATTTGTAGTTTGTTCTTTATTTTTTACTCTTAATTGTAACATAGGGTTACATGATTTAGGTAAAAGTAGTTCTTCTACTGCCTTCACTGATTTCTTTATTTCCTTTAAATATTTTTTTTTTGTTTTCAGTGTTATTTTTTCTTTCTTCTTTACCAAATTGTGATGGATCACACTCTTCACTTTCACTATCTGATGAGGCTTCGTCGTGACTAATGATAATTTTTACAGTCTGTAATAATTCATTAAAACATCTCGGTATTGATTTTAAAAATTCTTCTACAGTGATTTTCTGATTTAACAGTTCATTTTGTAAATTTTTAACGTAATTTTTTCGGATAATTGTCCCTCGAGGAGTGTGCCGTTTTGTTTTCAGGTGTTCCAGTAATCGCTCGTAATTCAACTCTTCATTTTTCAAAATTTTTTCAATTCTATCTAAAATTATTTTTTTTTTTTGGATGGTGTAGTTAATATTGCAGACGCTAATAGTATTTTACTTTTGTATAAATATTTAGAAAGTAATTTTTACCTATAAGAGACCAAATTATTGGGTGACGTTCAACGATGACACTGTTGCAGTGACGGTGGAAGCTCTCTGGGCCATCGTTGGTATCAGTAAGGGCGTTAAATACACTAACTTGGTCTGGATTTGACAGCCAAGTATCCACAAAACAGTCAAAATAAATGATAATATTTTTATCTTTTTTTTTTCAATTTATTCATTTCGTTTTTGAGAATTTTTTTGGCATCAGGAAATAATTCTGGTGGCAAAAATGGAACATTCATCATCATCGATAGAAAATAATCCGGAGTTTTCAACTTCAGTTTCTGCCATTTCTTAATTACATTCTACAAAAAAAAAAAAAGTTTAAAAGTTTTTTTAAATCATAACTCTGAAAATATACGTGCTTGATGTAAACGAAAATATGCAGGCAAATCTGTATTGAATAAGTCAAAGTTATTTTTAAGAAATCAAAATAAATTACGTGAACAAAATGGAAATAACATCCATGAATTTTGGCGTTTTTGAAATTTTCGTTTAATGATTTAAATGTGGCCTTCTCGAAATCTGTCATTATATGAATTTCTTTAGTACTGATAGATGGAGCTTTTTTAATTAGCCATTGAAAAATGCAGTTATATATTGCAGAGTCTCGATTTTCCATTAGAATCACTATTGCAGCTACATACTTTATGAAGAATAATAATAAAATATTCATTAATTTAAAGGAAAGTCAATTATAATTTTAGTTATAGTAATGTCCAAACGAATGTACTGCTCTACTTAATAATTATTTATACCGTGTTATCTTTTTTGAAGTGAATTGTATAAATTTGTTCCATCTTAGGTTTTAAAGATTTCCTCTGGAAATTTAAATTTAAAATAAATTTTGGAAACTTATCAATTGTTAGAAAATAAAAAAAAAATTGAATAAAATTAAAAAAATATACTAACAGAAAAAGTTCCATCCATAAAACTTTCATTTGCATCATTAAGTCCTTGGAGCAGCTTATCACTTGTAAAAATCACAGCAGTTTTATTATTTTCTGAAATTAATGTTTCCTTATATAAACTTTTATTTTCTAAAATTTCTCCTAGTGAAAGAAGAGTGTCAGGGATTTTCGGACGACTTTTACTCCTACTTCTCGATAAAATACTCCTCACAGATTCATAATTATAATTTTTGCTAACTTCGGGAATTCTAATATTATGAATAATTTTCTATTATTATTAATGAAAAAATTAAATTATGTGTTACTTAAATTTTACATCATTTACAACTAAATCTCAAAATAATTACACAAGTACTCACGTTTGCAAAACATCGTTAAAAATTACGATCAATTTTTCATTAGTTTCCACAACTTTTTTTTTCATTACTTCCTTCACACGAGCCCAAACATTACCACGTGTATCCTCAAACTCAGTGTGTTCTTTTAAAATGTTAAAATCTGTACCTTCTTTGAGATTTTCAAAATCTTCAATATCAGAAATTTCTTGGATAAAATGTAGAGTAGCCTTGCATCCGAGTTTTCTTGATGAACATCTTGCCACTCTCTTACATAATTTGTCTTCAAGATACTTAAATCCTTTATAGAAAAATAAGGTTGAGTCTTCTTTTTTACCACGGATTATCTCCATTTTTTATATCAATAGGAACATTTTTTGCGAAAAAAAAATATTTTATTATATGTTTGTTTTTTAAACAAGTGACTATATATGTATATAATAATATTAAAAACAACTTATTTTTTAATGAAATATATAATTCTATTCATTTATTTCTGTACAGGATTTGAAATGCAATTCGAATGAAGTGGAAGGTTGGACTAGTAAAATATACCGTTAATCAGACATAAGAGCTTATAAAAAAATAAAATTTTTTTTTATAGAATAAAAAATTATAAATTAAAAATTTTAATTATAATTATTATAATTATACTTTAATCATAAGCCTTTCAATCCAAGTAAAAAATTATTTATACGCTCTTATGACATCAGTAGGGCAATATATTTACATGCATTTTTTTAAATATAGTTCTATACGTTAATATTGTAACAGGGTAAAAATATACCCTGCATCGATAATTCACCAGATATCGATAATGGTACGACGCAGCACTGGCGCGTCTCGATTTTCGGGCATTTTAGGTAGTGGGGAGAGTGACGATGAGCCGGGAGCCGAGCACGAGTGAAGCAGCGGCCGGCGGACAAGACAGAAGAAGTTGTACTACTGAACGTTCCGGACGCACTTTGGAAAACTCAGGTAATTATCCAGTCGCACGTTCACTTAATTGGAACGCAAGCGATGTGTAGTATTTATTAATTTGTTCAAATTGATAAATTACATCATACTAATCCTATTTGGTACGTCTAGGAATATTTGTTGCGGTTGTAAGGAGTACAATATCCCCGAGAATACGAGCAACGACGAGGTGGCAGCAGACCCAAGCCATAGCTGTGAGTTTGGTGGGAAGCAGTTCGTTGGATTGTAAGGTACTTTGTCAAGTCTCGTGGGCAAAATTCGACTGTGGTTAGCACCCGGTCTTATTGACTCTTCTGGACAAGGTTTAATTGTTTTAACTGTGATTTTTAAATTAAAATAATTATTGGGTTATAAATTAAATTTATTATTGGTTAAAATAAATTCGCTAGAAAATCCTGTGGTCCGACACCCGGGAAATATTATTTAACCTGAGACGTAGTTGGTGTTGAGATAATTACGTGCCATTTTATATTCAGCTTTATTAAATTAAATTAATTAATTAGTAATAATTTCCGGCTAAATAAAATTATTAATAATAATATTCGGTTAATTAATCTTAAATTACTGAACGTTAATCGGGAAAATTTTATAAAAAAGTGGTAAAATAGTTTGTTACTACGCAGTACATTTTAACTGCGCGTCTAAAATCACAAGGTCATGTTTACTGGCGTCACATATATTCTATTGTGTTGAAAATAGTCACCGGACAATTTTGTTAACTCGATTAGATATTTTAAGATTTTAGTTAATTAATTCGGTTTGGGTTATGAGTGATAGAGAGTGAGACAATAGATAAGGAGCTTCTGGTAAATGGTACGGTTTTCCCTCTATATCAGAAGTTTACAATAAAAACGGTTAATTGGTAATTCGGATATCGGTAAAGGAAAAGTGGAGGTCATGTGGTCCTCGTACCCGTGAATTATGGTACGGTTTCCCCTCTGTTTCGCGGGTATTAGTTAAGTAATTTTGTTATGGAAAATTTGGCAATAGAATTCATAGAGTGCGTGAGAGTGTGATATTGTTAAATAAATAATTGGTAACCACGAATTATTGATTTTATTCATTTCCAGATAATTTCCTAAATCTCTCTACCCTGTAGATTATCTCTCATGTCTCTTACGGTTTCCAGGACACCGTTGTAACAACCTGGTGGCGCCTTAATTTTACATCTTATATAATAGTCTCATGGTATTTAGAGTTAACATCTAACTAATAATTTAGGCCACTATTGAATGGCGGAAATAAAAAACACCCCG